CAACAGCCGTGCAGATCAGAAAGGATTCAGGCTGTCTAGTCCAACAAGCAACTGCACAACCTTATGGAGACAGACAACAGAGAAAGAGACTGTGAACACTTAGGTACAAGCAGCTTACCTCTGCTTTGACTGCCTTGCTTGTGTCCTCTGCTGCAGCTCCTGGTCTGTCTCCACCAGCAGACTGATTCACTAGGAGAAACCTTTACCAATAGAAAGGAATAAAAAAATCGCTTACAAGCAGCAATAGAGGGCTGTGTGATGTCTGCCAGTATAGGAGAGCATGTTCAAGTGCTGATCTGGCAGTATTTAAGGAGTGGAGTATTTTATGATAAACAGCACCGTTGCATGACATTTTGAAATACCAAATTGCACCATGAAACAGGAGATGTAACAAGGCATCTAACCTGTGGTTAGGATATTTAGTAGGAACCTGGGGTATTCTTGTCCCCTGGGGCTGTGATAGAGCTTGATCTGTACTGCTGCCTTTCCCAGGAATTGCTGTGACCACATTATTTTGGGAGGAAGAGGCGGAAGAGTCCAACTTTTCTCAGCACTTGCTACCTATGAACACAGTCTCTGCCACTGTGGTTTGTAAGGAAGCTGGGATGGTCGCTGGTTCCACACCTGTCACATTTTTTGAACTTCTGTTTACAGGTTGCTTGGGGACAATTCCTCTTTGTTAGGTAGTCTTAGAATAAAAATACAAGTCATTTGAAAGGGGTGTATTTTAGCATCACGGACACATTCTAAAATCTGTTGCTCAGTGAACACCACAACATGCAAGGACCAGTCTGCCCTGAATTAGCCTGCTCTTGTAGGGTTTCTCAAGGACTGAAAAAGTTTGAAAGCATTGTCTAAACTTTGCCTCAGAGAGGATAGTAACAAGATTTCTTTCCTCCATGAACTCTGTGAAAACTCTCTTTGGAGACCTCTACCTAACCGCTGAACTAGTTGTAGTGAGCCCTGGGACTCAGAACTCACTGAAACTGGCCAGGTGCCCTGGAGCAGCAAATTCTCTGCAATGTGGGTACTAGTCATCAGCTGTCTTGTGTGGGCATAAAGAGTGAAGTAAGTCTTTGTTAGTAAACAGAACCTGAGAGTAACCACAGAAACTTTTTGCTTTATAAAGTAGAGAGTTGTCTGTGGAAAGGCCAAAAAAGTGATTTCTCAGTGAAAAGTGTTGCAGCTTGCCAGTTCTGATATCCCTGCAGTAAGAGATACAGAAGACCTTTCTCTGCTGTATTCCCAGCTAACACCATACTACATTTTTTGCTTTATGGAATTTTCAGCCTGGAATAATCTGCAACAATTTACCTAGTTTCACCTCATGCCAGCATATGAGATTTCTGATATTGTTTCTGATATTGTTAGTTAGAAGGAATCAAGTGAAGAATTAGACATAGATAAGCCCATGTATTGGCCCTTACCTTTGGAAGTTTGGAAAAGAGAGGACTGAACAGGGAAAAGAGACAATGCATATAAAAAGAGCATAGGAAACACAAAACCTGAAGGGTATGCAGAAAATTCCCAGGTCATGTGGCTATGCTGCCCTTACTTAAAGAATGATGTCAGCTGACATAATAAGTATTCTGTTTCAAATATACTGGAGCAAAAGTTTGACACCCAGGTGGTCTGACCTACACCTGGACATAGCATGAGGTGCTAAGTATGTCTTAATCCCAAGTGTCAGCCAGTTGTCACTTAGGTACCCCCAAGGTGTTCTGAGCCTATAAACACATCTCTGGTGATCTGCAGTCTCGGAGAGGGAGAGAAAAGGGGAATATGTGTGCTCCTTTCGCCTTTGCAAACCCTATAAAATACAAAAGCAGTGTTCATTTAAGGTAATGGGCTGTATACGCTCTCCCTTTTGTCTTTGAACCCTATTCATCTTCCCAATTACTTTTGTGGCTCTCATAAATTTTCTCCCTGCAATCAACAACAGATGATTATCTGTTGTTTGAGCAGGCATGTATGAGAAAGGACCTAGCTGTTTATCAAATGCTTCAGTCTGTTGAGGCACCCCCCAGTCACTGTGCTACTTGGCCAATTCTAAATTAGGAGTTACTATATAGGATGACACTGACTGTGAAAATGCATACACGTGTCAGCAGGTTTTTGCAGATCTACAGCCCCAGTGACTTTTGCAGGACTGTGTGTTCCACATTGTGCAGTACTGTCCATTAGACGAATGATCTTCTGTGTATTTTAATTAATTACTTAATTGATAATTATGGAGAAGATAATTTTCTGGTGAAGGCCCTTCTGAAAAGCTCTTAGGTCACTCCCAGCTCACATGAAGCATTTTAAGTGGTCTTAAATTCTTTCAGGAAGTAAGAATCACATTTCCTACACAGACTAGATGACAGTTGGTCTATGCATTGAGTGTTGCACCTTTTGGAGAAAAAAGACTTAATCAGAAAAAAAAATATTAAAATTCAGGATTCAAATCCTTGTTTATAAGCATGGTAAAGAACACAAAAGCAATGTGTAAAGCAGAAGTGAACCTGTGACTACATAAATTTGCATGTGTCTCATACCTCATGGTGTCTGTTTATCTGTTCTCCAGCTGAAGCTCTGATCAAAGTAGTCACTTAAGTGTTTTTCAAGAGGGTCTGAGATGTGATCCTAGATTAAATGGTAATTTACATCATCTTGGGAAAGACACTTCCTGAAGATATTGCCATGCTTTGTGGATTTGGGATCGGGGTCAGTTGGGTTTTTTAAAAATATTTTTCCATGCTACCATGCATTTCTATATTGGTGTATTTATATATTGCTGTCAGGAGGGGATTAAATAAACTGAGCAATTTGAGGTTTCTTTCAACAAGCTGTAGTTTATAAATTCCAGCAACCTAGCCAGTTGATGTAAGAGAATGTCCATTCCTTGGGATCTGGATGTGAAGAAGTACTGTCAAGGAATACATTTTCACCTTTGAGGCCTTACTCACTCCTCTGTGTCTTTGGGCTGTGTTGGGTTTGCATGACACAGTTTTGGTAGCCAGGGACTACAGGAGTGGCTTCTGTGAGGAGCTGCCAGAAGCTTCCCCTATGTTCTGTAGAGCCAATGCTGCTGGCCAAGGCCAAGCCAATTGTTGTAGCTGTCAGGGATAACGCATTTAAGAAGGAAAAAAAAAAAATAAACTGAAGAGGGAAGAATTTGCAGCAGTGAGAGAGAGAGAGCAAGTTGTGAGGGGGAAAACTCTGCAGACACCCAGGTCAGTGGAGAAGGAGGGGAAGGAAGTGAGGAAGTGCTCCAGGCGCTGGAGCAGAGATTCTCGTGCAGCCTGTGGTGAGGCCGGATGTGACCCTGCAGCCATGGAGGGTCACGGTGGAGCAGAGACGCACCTGCATCCTGGGAAGAACCCCACGCCAGAGCAGGGGGATACATGAAGGAGGCTGTTACCCCATGGGCAGCCCAGGCTCCTGGCAGTACCTGTGGACCCATGGAGAGAGGAGCCCAGACTGGAGCAGGTTTGCTGGCAGGACTTGTGACTTCGTGGGAAGCTCACACTGGAGCAGGCTGCTCCTGAAGGACTGTACCCCATGAGTGGGACCCACACTGGAATGGTTCTTGAAGAACTGCAGCCTGTGGGAAGAACTCACATTGAGAAGTTCATGGAGAACTGACTCCCATGGGAAGGACCCCATGCAGGAGCAGGGGCAGAGTGTGAGGAGTCGTCCCTCTGTGGAAGAAGGAGTGGCAGAGACAACATGTGATGAACTGTCCACAACCCCCATTCCAAGTCCCCCTGCACTGCTGGTGGGGAGGAGATAATCAGGAACAAAGCTGAGCTCAGGAAGAAAGGAGGGATGAGGGGAAGGTGTTCTAAGAATTAGTTTTAGTTCTCTTTTACTCTGATGTGATTGGTAATAAATTAAATTAATTCTCCCAGGCTGAGTCTGTTTTGCCCATGATGCTAATTGCTGAATGATCCCTCCTTGTCCTTACTTCGACCCACAAGCTTTCCATTATATCTTCTCTTTCCTGTCCAGCTGAGGAGGAGGATGATGGTGTGTCTTTGGTGGGCACCTGGCCTACAGCCAGGGCCAACCCGCCACACAGGCCAACAGAATATTCACCGCATGCTGAAAGAGCAATCTCTTGGGAGGATCCTAGTGAGGTTTGTCACAGGTAGGTGTAGTGCACATTTCTGTTCCAAGCCAACCTAGTTTTCTCCAGGTAAACAGCTGATGAAAGGGTTAGAACTGGTGCAAACAAACCAACACTACAGTCAGTGGTGCTATGCTACTCTAATCAGAGAAGGCAGTATAAGTAATTTTACATGGTCCTTCACCTCACTGGGGAATAAATATGAAAAATATATGGAAATAACAATTCTCGAATGTAAGGTAGAGGGCTTGGATTTAAGGCAGTTACATGCATATAATTTAAACCTTGTTTAAAAGTATGTTTGAAATACAGGAAATATGAATTTAAACTATAAAGGGAAAATATATTTTGGGTTGTCCACAGATGCTTAAAATACGCATGCCCTACTCAGCCTGTATGAATGTAGTACAGAAATACTACTGGATCTTATTCTCAGAGCCATGAACACAAAAAGGAGATGGAAATAATTCTGTTCCCAAGGAAGCTCTACAGGAATTAACATATAAAATTAATAGGCTAAACATGAATCATATTTATTGTTTGGGCTGGGCTAAGAAGAGAAGACTGAGCAAAAGGTAATGAAAGGGGCTGGCCTATTTAATAAGAGGCTGAAGCTAAATTACACTGGGAGCTCTCATTAAAGGTGTGTGATCTAGTTTCTTCCCTTGTCCCAGTAGGCGTCTTGAGCTGTTCTTGCAGAGGGCTTGGAATATGTTTTAGTTAGAAGTAGCTTGGGTGGCAAACTAGCTACTATTCAGTTATCTGTTTAAGTTTTAGGTTTCATGCTTTTTTTTTTTCTTCATTTTCCCCTCCCTTTCTTCACTTGTGAAATTTTCTTCCTCTCTCTCCCTCCTCCCATCCTCAGCCTGTTTTACTACTTTCCTTTTTAGGCAACTGGAGGCTGTTATTGCTAAAATGACAAAGGAAAACGCTTCTCTGTTGTAACTTGTTCTGTCAGTCTCCCGTAAGCTGCTGTTCTCACATTTACCTCCCTGGGTTGGGTTTCTGAAGACAATTGTTTCATGCTACCAAGTAGAAAGCACTTAAAGGAAATGTAGTTTAAGAAAGAGTGATACATTTAAGTTGTATATTAAACAGATTCAAACAAGCTCAAGAACATTTCAAGTGAGGTTAACTTGTTGGGCTGGTGAACAGGAACGAACTCAAGCAGTGAAGAATAGGCATGGGGATACTCTATTCAGAGGTACGTGACCTTTTTTCTGCACGGTAACTGAAGGTATTGAAGATACAGTTGTTCACTGGGTTTGGTTTGTCCCCTTTGCAGCCTCCCATATGCAGGCTTATACAGATCTGGATGTTCTTTTCCTTTGGAAATGCTGTACTTTGGCTATTACAAATTGACAGAAATACTGTTTGTAGGAGTAAAGAAAATGTAATAACCAGTGTAACTGTTGTGACTTCACAGAGAAAGCATGTGTTCAACAGTTTTTGTTGTTCTATGTTGAGTTCAGAATCATTCTGAGCATGATGCCAACAACAAACAACTCTGCAAACTGGAAACAACTCTTTGGATTATGTTGAATATAGATAACAAAGCTAATGCCTAAGGAAACATTCCCCCTCATCCCATGACTGTTTTAGGAATGAGATTTTTTTTAGCTCTTATCTTTATGGATTTGTCCCCAGACTATGGTCCATTTAGCATGCTCCTGGATTTTAGCATAAATGTTACCTAAACATATTTGTTATTTTCTAAACTCCCCATTCATATGTGTGGAAACAAATGAAGATTTAGGTCCTTTTTGACTGTCAATACAGTGGATTGTATTGCTATTTCTTTTTTTCTGGAGGTAGCATTACATAGATATTCCTCTAAAAGGTTACATTTCTGTGCTGAAAGCCACCCTTTTGTCTTTAAAAGGCTATTCAATGAAATCAAGTATCTTCTCCTCTTTCAGCATTATAGGAAGCCTGGATCTATGCATTCATATGACGGTGGGCTGCGTAAACTGCACCTTACTGTGAAAGGTTTTGTTGCCTCTTTTCAGACCTACTGCTCTGAGATAGTATTGTACAAGAAACTAGCATCACCTTGCTTTAGTAAAGTGATGTTTAGAGAATGTTCAAATACTGTCTGAGTGAGATATACTTCTCCAGGTAAGGTAGGGTTCATTAATACAGGATAGAAATCTAGAGAAGTGCAAATAAGAAAGTGTAAGTTGACTTTTCTGAGAAGTATGGTTTGGATACTAGTGCGTTCCTCAGCATCACAAACATAATTTAGACTTTCCTGTTTAATTCACAGCATGTCTTTGGATGAATTTTAGTACACAGGAAGAGACTATGGATTGGTTCAAAATATCTGGTTGTTATGAAGTGACTCCTTTTTGTCTAAACAGCTGCAAAGTGTTCATGTAACTTTGGCAATCTCCTGCAGCTCTCAAAGGAGGAAGCAATTATAATCTGAAATTGCTCTCTCAGTTGCAAGACTGCCTTTACTTTAACCTCCTCTCTATTGGCCAAATGCTTTGTCTTTAGTGCCATGCCTTTAACCTTTATTTAACATATAGTAGAACTTGCTGAATGTCTTGTGGTTTATTACTACCTCAGCAAAGCTCAGCAGAGGGAGGTGCAAGAAACTCTGAAAAAAAAGCAGACAAATTCAGATGTGGCAGTTCTTCTGGATCTGAGTAAACAACCAGGTCCTGATTTCAATTACATGGCCCACAGCTGATTTAAGGGAAAAAAAAACCACAACAAAAAAACCCCCCAAATCACTTATGTAGAGGTTTTGTCCTTCTGACAGTGAACATGTTTTCACTTTTCTTGCATCCTTTACCTGGTGATCTTGTACTGAGCGATCTCAGCCATGAAAACCCTTGCCTGCCCTATGACTACTTCTGAGCTTTCCTGAAACCCCAGATACTGAACATGAAATTCTCTTCTGATGGGCCTGTAGAAGTAGTATTGTAGAAAAAGAGATTCTAATCTAACTGTGGAGATTCTGCTTTAAAACTGCATGTTCAATTTTCCTTTGAACACCTGACTTGGGTGAACATCACTCAGTCATTGGCATGTCTTATCTTCAAACTCTAATTTCCAGTTCCTCTGCCCTTTGCTTTCTTCAGTTAGGCAGGGCCACATGCTCTGGTTCATGGATAATCTGAGTTAGCTCATGGTTAGACCTGATGCTGTGGCAGGGAAAAGGCACCACCAGTGCCTACCAGTGAGGGTAGAAAGAGTTTGGCATTGCAATTTGCCTTTCTCTCCCTTCCACTGCATGTTTTGTGTAGTGTCACGCTGTCAGGTTCATTGCATGCATCCTGAGTGTCAGAAGTGTGAGTGAGAGCAGAGGCGAAGGGCTGTGCTGCCAGGCAGTTCAGAGGTGCTCGTTTTCTCTTTACCTGAGCTGGAATCCTCGGTCCTGCTCCCCCTCCCTTCAGACCTAGAGCTTGTGTTTGTATTGGGTGTAATGTCTGGTGTGCCTCTGCCACATGTGAAATCCAGTTATTCTGAGTACATATCTTAGAGATTTATTTCCCTCTTGCATATGATGGGTGGATAACAATAATGTAGTAACCTTAACATGAATCCGAATCTGGTTGTTAAGCTGCATTGCTGCTGTGGCAGTCTCCTGACACTGTGGAAAACTGAGTGAGGGTTTCCAGACTTTTATCCTCCCTGCTTTTCTGTAGACATAAAAGAAATGTCTTTTCTTGGGGTTTGGATGGAATCTACTGTTTCTACATAACATTGCCCTAACCCTATAATTGGCCTCACTGCTGATATTCCGGACAGATGCTGTCTAACTGTGTGCATATAAGAAGCTCTATTAATTGCCTTCTGAGCAGTTTGGAGAATACTTTAAAATAGTCTTAAGCACAGTTAGTCCTAATTTAGATAGAGCTGCCAGAGTGGCAGCTCAGAAAAAGTGAAAGGTGGAAGAGGGGTTTGCAGCAGAGGCTTCACAATCACAGAGACCCTTGCACACTTGTCAAGCTCTAGCCTGCAGTCAGGTTTTGTGTCCATTCTGCCACTACAGGAAGCCTGTTTTGGAACATTGCTCTGCACGTGGATAGAAATCTCTTTCTAATTTTCATGCTAAACTTCTTGGCCAGTCTGCCACACTTCCCACTGTTATATTCTGCATGTATTAGGTCAGTAGAAACTCATAGCACTCCTGTCATTCCCAGCCTCTCCTTAGTCTGAGTTCTTGCTGCTGCAGAGGGAAGGAAAATACTGAGGAAAGACTTAAGTTGCTAGCAGTTCTCAAAAGTCAAGCAGGATCTGAGCTGTGGGCATACCTGCACATAGTTTTTGGGTATGAAGCTTACCTTCAAGCCCTAGAAAAGTAACACCAGGTGAGTTTGGTTTTTCAGCTTTCACCTGAAGTCTGGTTCTGTTCTGGGAGCTGATGAGTCAGAAGTGGTACCACTTGTTCAGCAGTGCTCGTCCGAAGGGAAAGCCTGTAGGAAGCTGAGAGGTGCGGGCTTGTCAGTGCTTGCTGCTTAACGTGACCAGCTCCTGTGAGATCGGATGATGGTTTTTCTTAATGGCTGCAAATGAACGGGATCTATATCTGTTCGTTTTGGACGACGTGTTAATAATCCAAGAAAGTTCATTCCACTGTGCAAGGGCTATGACTGCTCAGGCTGAGGGCGGGGAGCTGCTGTGGCAGCTGCCGGTGTATGTCTTACCACCACCTTCTGGAAGTCACCTGCTATTACAACCGCTGCCAGAAGTGCTCGGCAGGGTCTTGGGATGTATGAAGTGTGCAGTTAAGTCTGGATGGCTCAGTGAAACGTGTGATGACGAATATTGTCTTCTCTCTTCAGCCCATTTGTCAGGCAGCTTATAATAACGATTTCAATGAAGTTCAGCTCCTTTTGGAGCGCAATAGCAACTATCTGAACATCCAGGACAGCTTTGGTGGAGACACCCCCTTAATCTGCGCATGCAAACAGGGAAACAGCAGGATAGTTAGCTATCTTCTAAAAAGAAACGCTGATGTCAACCTCAGAAACAAGGTAAGTGGACACCGACTCCTCCTTTGCAGTGACTGTTCTTTCAGGTTCTTGGGGGTTGTGTGTGGGAACACTGGCAGTGCTGCCAAACCTGAGGTTTGTTTCTGAGATGTAAGTATAGCCCCCAAATTATAATATAATAAACTTCTATGTTTCTGTTTGTCTCCTCATTTATTTTTCTAACTTCACAGTGCACACAAGATAGTAAGCATCCCCAGCCTGAACTTCGCTCTGTGTTCACGTTCCCAGTTAATACTGCCCAGTCCCCAGTGAGATCTGCCTGCTTGCCCATGCAACACTCTGCATTCGTATTGCCTTCCAGCTTGGATCTGTCCATTCTGTAGTTTTTCTTTTTCCTCTGCCTTTTTCTTCTGGTTTCCTGGTTAAAAGGAAGGTCTGAAGAAGAGCCTGTCCATCTCTCACAAAAGTAACCCTGAGGAAAAACAGACCCTATGAAAATCTTTCTTATTCCCCCTGCAGACCTGTTTCTGTAACCTTATTTGACACAATATAGTGTTCTGGGGGATGAGGAGGGAAGCCTTCATCTGTTGTTGATCTGATCCCTGCTTTTAAAACCTACCTGCCTTGCACAATAGCTGTGACTGACTGTTTTCCCTAAGGTGGTGAGGAAGTGTGTTTTTGTGGTAGATTTCCCTGTAGGTTACAGATAAAAAGTAGCTGAAAAGTGCATGTTCTGGATTCATTAACTTATTCTTATGATGTTAAGGGTGATACATAGCCATGAAAAAACACCATAGCATTGTCAATTCTATTATATCATCTCGTACTCCAAGGCAATGCTTAGCAAGTTCCTACACATCTGTGGGCTGTCTTATATCCCTGGTTTCCAGTGCATTGTTTATTTCATAGGAGGGTAGTAAACATTTGTGACGTCAGTGGAATACTCTATCTTACCTGTTCTTGATGCAGAATGCTCTCCATCTTACCTCAGAGTCCCTTTGTAAGGGTTCAGTATTTTGCAATAATATCATTCTAATTGAATTAGTAGCCATTTTCTAGCCATGCCTGGCTTTCTTAAATGCTTCTTTGCTTCACCTTCACAAATGGAATCAGGCCCTTAGGTGCAGAGCTGAACTGCAGTGTTCAGGACTGAGAATGGGGAGCAGAGGGTGACACAGAACAGCTTCTCTGATTATTTTAGGCCCCAGTGTAACACTCAACCTAGTTCGTCAAACTCCAGTTTGACAACATGTAGGAGGTTTAACACACATGTTCTTCAACACACAAGTTAAAAGCTCTACCCTTTAGTTGCTTTGGTATGCTCAGTATTCAAAGATTTTTTTTTAAATCCTCTTCTCACTAGGAATCTACTGGAGGTGTTGCTACTTACCTGTGTTTCTCACATGTGCCAAAGAAATTCCATAAACTCTCTTACATCTTTTTTTCAGTAACCAGCACCTCTGTAAGAAGAACTGTGGGGTTTCTTGCTGCTGATTTAACTTGTTGGGTAGCAGTAACAAACACATGAATTTCTTTCCCTCTTCAGCCATGTCCAAGTTTGCAGACATACGTATGGAATCCTTTGGATCCCACATCCTTCTTGCACATGTAGCCCAGTTTCCGTGAGCCTGGATGTGTTAAATATGCTTCTACTTGAAGGAAGCAAAATGCATGTGTCTGTTTCTGCTTGAAAATCAGAGAAATATTTCTAGTAGATAACTGAAAAGAAAGCTTGTACAATATAAAATGATCTTACTATTGTCAATATTAAACAAATATAATCACTGGTACTAATCAGAGTTATTTTGTGTTTAGAAAAACCGCACGTGTCTGCATTATGCTGTGAGAAAACGGTTCACCTTCCTTGACTATGTGCTCATCATAATCCTCATGCCAGTTATGCTTATTGGATATCTTCTCATGGTGAGTCTGGAAGAAAGCTGGAAAGAACCTATATCTTTCCCTTTTCCCTTATCCCCTTTCTCATGGCAGTATTTCAGGCCAGGAACTTGTATAGAATATGGACTGCTGTTTTTATAGCAAGGACTGATTGATAGCAACAGAAGAAGCAGGGATTTTGCTGTGAATATAGCTAGTGTAGGAACAGAATTGTATCACTGCATCAGTCTGTCACTTGCAGAAGCCAGACTCTCTTCTTTTTGGAAAAAACCCACAGTATTTAGACAAAACCCTACTTAGTACCATATGCAGTTGTGCTGTCTTACTGTGTTACTCTCCCTTGCACCAAACAGGTCTCGAAGACTAAACAGAATGAAAACTTGATCAAGATGTTGCTTAGAGCTGGAGTGGATGTTAATGCTACAGACTTTGTAAGTGGGTTATACAAATGCACATGTGGTTTGTATGCATGCGACATTACTAAAAACAGACTTGAGAATCTTCTAGCAATATAGTCCTGCTTTCAGGGTAGGATTAGGGACTGAAAAGACTGTGATGTAGCAGAGGCATTCAGTGATTCCCCTTGACATTTAAGCAATAGTTTTGCAATGTACACAGAAATAATTCTTCAGTGGTCAACTAATTCTCCCTTTCTGACCAATGCCCTCTTAAGAGAACCTAGGCAAGCCGGGTTGAGATACTTAAATACTTATGTATTAAGCACCTGATCCTATAAAGATTCTAGTGATATAAGGGTCTGAGTTTATCACCGTTTATGTGTTCTTGGACTGGAGCAGATTTGTGAGCAAAGATCATGTCTCAGTGTAGACTGTGTCTTCTCTTGATCTTTGGGGTGTGCTGATGTGCCATGTGTAGGACTCTGTATCCACTAGCCTACTTGGATGTGGTAAAGAGCTCCTCTCCTCTAAGGTAGAAAAGAAGAACCCCCAGTTTTAGCATCATCAAATTCTAAAACTCTGAAGTATAGGCAAACTGTATTGCTGACGACACAGTTGTTGAGATCAAGATCATGGAATATTCTGAAATTAGTAAAGAACTATTTGTTTCCCTCTGAAGCAATCACACCTGTTCTATCAGCTGCATCCTGGAGAAGGCATGATTTTATTGTATGACAACGTATTTGTTTTACTGTGCAGTGTGTTGTGACAGGAAATGGTATGTGTCTTTTGTATCCAGCTGTTAGGGGGAAACTGGTAAGGCTACAGGTAGTCGTACTTGTCTAAGGTTTACTAAAGGAGTAATAGAACTAAAATTCATTTGCTTCTGTTTCCCTTCAGTCTGGTAGCACAGCCCTTCACTATGCTTGTGAAATGAAAAACCAGGCAGTTATTCCTCTACTCCTTGAAGCTCACGCAGACACTTCTGTAAAGAATCAGGTAAGAAGGTGAAGTTATTATGGGTATTTCTTTATCACAATGGTGAACCAGTATGTTTTAAGACTTAGTTGGCATGCAGCAGTTTCAAAAAAGGGGTTCACAACTTCCTGGCAGTAGACTTGTTTGCTGTGTGGTATAAAGCAATGTTTGCTCCATTGCCTTTGTTGGCAAGAACAACTTTAAAGTCCAAATCCTTCGCTCCTGGATTTCTACCAGTAAACACTGCCTGCATGTCCACTGGATTGGCAGATCTCTTAGCTATCTTTATGGTACCTCTTCTTAACTCAGAGCTGCTCTACAGTTGTTCCCAAGATGCAGGCTGCAGGGGAGTGGTAAGAGCCTTCCCAGGTACTTTTAGTGCCACTGGACACCATTCTTCTGAGAGGGGCTAAGTCAAACTGTTTCTGCCATCAGAAAAACTCAGATATCCAAATAATATTGACCTGGGAGTATCTGTATTACTGAAGGGAGGTGAGCAATGTTGTGATGGTTTTGGCTGGAATAAAGTTAATTTTCTTCATAGTAGCTAGTATGGGGCTACGTTTTGGGTTTGTGCTGATAACATGTTGTTAACTTGTTGCTTAACACATGTTTTTAGTTGTTACCCAGTAGTACTTACATTAAACCAAGATCTTTTTCAGTTTCTCTCTTCTCTACAAAAAGCTGGTGAGACACACAGCCAGGACAGCTGTCCCAAACTGACCAAAGGGATATTTCATGCCACAGGGCATTATGCTCAGTATATAATCTGTAGGGAGTTGACTGAGGGGATCGCTACTTGGGGATAGGGTAATGATCACTGTGTGGTGAGCAATTGTCTTGTGCCTCACTTGTTGTTTTGTATATTCCTTTATCAGTATTGCTATTATCATCATCATCATCATTATTTATTTGTGTATTTATTTCCTCTCCCTTTACTGTCCTGTTAAGCTGTTTGTATCTCAGCCCACAAGTCTCTTTTTTTCTGATTCTCTCCCCCATCCCACGTAGTGGGGGGGATGGGGCAAGCGATGGCTGCCTGGTGCTTAGTTGCCAGCTGGTACTAAACCATGACAAATGTATTGCCCGTGTTGCTCTTGAAATCAGCTCTTAGCTTAGCTCTGCACTGACTTTGGACGTTAGCCCCAGGAAACTGTGGAATGGTTGTCACTACTGGAGAATGGGGCGGGACTCTGCCCCTGGTTTCAGTGACAGTAGTTGTATACTCAGCATGTTCTGAAAGCTTTCTTTTAGAGCAAGGATGTGACAGTGAAACTTATGCAGGGGAGCACTGCATCTGGGTGGCAAATTCAGGAAAACTTTTTGTTCTTGACCCCTATCTATCATATTGACATATATTTCATCTGTTTCTTCCAGGGTGGGGAGACTCCCTTAGATATAGCAAGACGACTGCAGTTCCACAACATTGAAAACATGCTAAGGAAAACTTCCTAGTCCTCAAGGACTCTTGAACATGCAGAAAATTACCTCATCTGGCAACCCATCTTGCACAGCAGCAGGAGTCCTGCAGAGGTCTGAGGGCTGTTACTTGATAAAGTCTTCACACAAATCCACCCATTCCTTGCTGCAGACTTTGACTATTTTGTGTGAGACTTGTCAGTACCCTATGGCCACATGGGCTGAAAGGGGTTAATTTGATTTTACTAAGCCATCAATAATTATAATAGAGCTCAAAATATTGCTTTTCCCATCTGCTTCTCCAGTTTTATTACATGACTTTAGTGCAGACTGTGGATTTTGAAAGCTAGCTATAGCATTTCTGGAAGCTTAAACATTGCACATGACGGTTGGCAGCCAATGCAAAAATAAAATATCCTTTGGATAAACTTCACAACTGAGCAACATGTCACAGCAGCTTATACAAGGTCTGGCACCCTTGCTCTTCGTACTTCTCTTCCTACAGTGTAAGTGACTGGGAACATAGATCTCGGCTTAACACTTCCTCCTCCCACCCTACAGATTTCAAACACCTTTATTCTGGCTATGTTGCTACAAGGGAAGGATTATCTCTTTTTTTTTTTTTCTTTTCCATATAAGACACAGCAAAAAGAGATTCAATGAGTTGTTGGAGAACACAAAGAAAGCCAAGTCCCAGATCCCATTAATGCACTGAGAAATAATAAGGAAAATGTGTTTGGTGCAGAAGAGAAATAAGTCTCTTGACTAACTTTCCACTATTAACAGTATGCTAAAGAAAAAAAAAATCTGTAAATGAAATGTTGTTGATGGGAACAAGATGCATCATTCCCAGGGCACTGCACAGGATAGCACGCTTTTAAGAGAGGTGTGTGCAGCAGCCCCTCTGCCCCAACACACCAAAACAAACCATGAACCTTCATGAACTTTCTTTTGCACAGATAAAGACAGAAGAAAACCTGAAGTGGTAAGCAGTGTATTAATGTTTCCCAGCACTCTGTGATTCAATAATGCAGCAATAAAGGGGACTCTTCTTTGAAATGCTGCTGCATCTTGTTTTCTTGGTTTAATGGATCTTTATTTTTGTTGATGGTTTTGGCTATTTCCACTAAGTCATAAGTTCAGAAGATAGATGTCATGAGCAGCACTGCTAATGGCTTCTAGACTGGGTACATGGACAAGTTAATGTATTTTTCCTGTGTTGCAGAACACAGATATATTTTTTCAGTGTGACTATTTCATTGGATGCTGACTCCAACTGCAAAGGGTCTTGTTTGGGCAATAAGAGCTTGAAGTTCCACCCAGAGACATCCCAGGAAACAAAGCTACTCTGTCTGAGCCTGTCAGCATTAACACTTTGGTTGTAACCTGGGGACAGACGCTCTTACCTGACAGATCAACTTGTAGGTGAGTAGATGTGAGGCACTTGCATGAACAATGAAGGTGCTGTTTCTTCAGGCGAATGGCCAGAAAGGGAGAACAGCTGACTGCTTTCTCATATTGCAGAAATTGCTTGAACAAAGAATGGTCAAGACAGGGTTATGTAAAAGACAAAGCTGATAGCTCAGAGTGCTTGCAACAACTTTGTTGCCGGTGTCAAGAATCATTCATGGGGTGGAAGCTGCATTGCTTGAAGTGGAGCTTCCCTGAAATGCCTACATCTCATTCCGTGGTCTTGAATTTGGGGGGTTTAGAGAGCATGAATGAGGCTTTGGGTGACGTGTTGACATGGAGGGCAGGTGAATACTTCTGTGAGGTTTTCTGAGATTGGATTCTTGTATTTCTAATGTTTGGAAGGCATCTACTGCCACCTAAGTTTCTTGTATCTTAAGATCTCTTTGTTGTGTTGATACTGTAGGTAAATGTGAGGAAGAAAAAAACCCCAAGTCCTCTGTCATGTGGATAGATTATTTAATTTAAACAAAGGTCAGTTGTTCATCAATGGAGAAATGTGTAAACCCCACTTTTGAGTCTTCATCGGAAGACAACAATTGGGCACGGGAATGTCTCTGTGGGGTACATAAGATACACACAAGAACAACAGACTTTAGGCATAGAAGAATCAGTCTTCTAGAAATAAAAGCTGTCCAGATTAAGTGATCCCTGTCGTGTGTGCTCAAGTACATTCATGTTTTCAGATTTCATTCCTATTTGCCTCAAACTTCTCAGGAAGACAGCAGTCACAGTAACACCACAGAAAACCTCAAACTATGAGGAAAACAAGGAACAAACAAGTGCAGATGAGTACCTATACTGCTATTCATTATGTGTGTCTGGGTGTTTACCTCTTCCTCAGGAATTACTTTTATTGTCAAATAGAAATTCTGGAGTTTTTTACTGAATGCATCAACACAATGCATGTGGTTTCAAAGGTATTTTGTTATTATTTCAATGATTTTCTGATACATTTTCTCAGCTGCATCAAGGCCCCAGATGAAATCAAGATGTCCCCAAGAAGGAAAATGCTCATGGTAAATGAGATTAGTAATCCGAGGAAGTAGCATTGCCATGTCTTTTGGATCTGCAAATTTGTCATCTCCACCGCTCCAAACAGCAATTGGTGTGTTTATCTTCTCGATCTTGTACACAGGAGGAGTAGACTGTAAAAAGGGAGGAGACCTGAGTGAATGCTGGTGGATCAGAAGTTGTGTTTAGAAAATGGTTCTCTG